GAGAACGTAAGCTGTGGCCGTTGGAGAATCTTTTCCAGAATTTAAACTAGTTACCTCTTTCGCTGCGTTAACCTAAACAGTTGGCTTGGCATAAATATTAGATTATAATAATCAATGTACAGACACCTACTACAGATAACATTATTTTTCCATCAATATTTAGCATAGAAGCAGTTAATGTGGAAGGAAAAGAGTGATATTGGAATGGTGTTTAATCGGTGAGATTTATTAATCATGAAGAAGTTTTACCGCACCTTTTATGCCTGGCAGCGGCATACCTGCTGACCAATCACTAATTTGTGACGTTCGACTTCCAAAGTCCTGATGTCTCGTGTTTGATAAAGATGATAGCATAACAGCTGTACGATACGCTGTGATAAAGAGGAAACGGTACAGGATGCATATGTGTTGCGGAATGGAGAAACCTCAGAGTGCACAAATGATACCATATTTGAATACTTAATATACGCTCATGTGCACACATATATATATACGCACAGGTGTAGTATTAATACTGATATAAATATAGACACATTTACCTATCTAATTATATATATTTATATAGGCACACATACATGCACAATGGGATCCACGACCATTGGATGACCGTGGGAAGCAAGCCAAGAATATGGTGAGACTGTCGACAGCACAACAGTGGATTTCTCGGAAAGCTAGACTGATGCAGTCATTCAGATTGCTTCAGTGATTCTGGCGGAAGTATAATGGAACTGGAAAGATGGGAGAGATAGTCCACCTTGTTAGCCAGAACTCCGAACACAGAATCCTGGGAACTCATCTTTGTTTACTCGTTCCTCTTGACTGCTTCCGATGTGATGGAGAGCTACAGCGGTTCACGTTGATCCTCCAGTTCACTGATGATACCCACACACGCACATGCATAAACACACATACACTCATATGGATAGATTGGTAGAGAGATGTATGTATCTATTTAGGTTATTTATGTATTTATCGTTCGTATCCGTTGATCCTTTTCCATCTCACAAGTTATATTTCATTATTCTAGGTTCATCCTTGCAATGGCAGAATACCAGGAAGTTCGGGAGGCAGCCGGAGTGAAGTTGATTGGGACGAAAGCACGTCAGATAGTTATCGATGAAAACATGAATATCGTTTTCTTGAGTCTTGTCTGGACGAGCACTAAGTGGGACA